CACCCTTCGTACATTTCTAGTAACTTATAACTAAATATTAACTCATATAGCTATATAACCTGAATAGAAATAAACGTTATAATAACATTCTAAGAGTACAACTTAAACAAATTAAATACAAAAATAAACAAATCATAATCTTTCTTTGGTGTAAAATCACCTTCATCCATCCATATTGCACCCAAATACATAAATGTGTTCATAAGCCTTGTCGTTCTCTCTCTTTTAATTTCTTGTCCAGCATTCTTAACCAATTTACGTTCATCCCCGTTTCCATCTAATATTTCCCTAATCGAACATTCTCCTCTCACTAATTCCTCGCACTCCTCCAACCAGTGCTTAAACGTTGCCCGTCCTCTCCCACAAATTTTACACATCCTTTTCTCCTCATCTAGCCATTATCTATTATACGATTCCACATTGCCACATCTCGCCCTCGCTATTAACTTAGTACTATTGCTCTTAGCTTCTTTTACTAGATATTCTGGTACTGTATAACTTACAATGTATTTGTATTTCTTATTATATCTTGCCTCTTTAATTTTCATTGCACGTTCTTGATCTTGCACCTTCCTATCCCTGTCTGTCAGAACCATCATTACGTCTTCTCCACTGTTTCTTTTTTCTTCTATTCCTTCTTGACTCCACCCATTTCTTTTTAGATATTCTATCCTTTCTACCCCCCCTCTTGTCTCCTCTGGTCTTTCAATCTTTTCTTTTAGGCAACCTTTTACTAAACTGTTCCCTCTTTCATTTCTAATTTTTCCTTCCATCTTTAACAGTCTTCTTCCTGTCTCTATTCTAATCGTATTCCTGTTGCACTCCTGCAATACGATGTATGCTGGCGTATATCTATCTAGTCCTAGGCACCATTTGATATACTTTACTTGTACCGATTCTATATCTTTTCTCTCCAGCCAACCAAACAACTCAACCCCATAAAGCAAAACTGGTTTTATAAGAGAGTCAAATAAAAACATCCTTTTCTTAAAGCAGTCATTAAAAATTCTCTCGCCTATACCCCATACCTGACCTAACACCGTATTTGCTTTTTTAACTCTCTCCTTAATATGCCCCATTATGTCCCCATTTTTTTTCAGAAGTACTCCTAAATATATGAATTCTTTAACGACCTCAATCGTCTGCTCTTTCCATTTCCAAACCGTCTTTCTTTTCTTTCCTCTTCCCTTTCTAAACACTAACATTTTGGATTTCTTAGTATTTAATATCAACCCCTTCCTGCCTAAGTACTTTTCCAATACTCTAAACATTTCCTTCATATCTTCCTCGTTTTTGGCCATTATCACAATATCGTCCGCATACGACAGCGAGCAAATTGACTTACTTCCTATATTTATACCTCCCCATCCTGCCTTATTCAACTCTTTCTCTAAATCTGCTAGAAATGTTATAAATAGTGTAGGACTTAGAATACACCCCTGCCTTACACCCTCTTCTGTCCAGAATTCCTCCGTCATCCCATTCTCTAGTCTTATCGTGTTTCTTGTCTCTTCGTATATTTCTTTTGTATGCTCTATCAGTCCTTCTCTTATTCCTCTTTCCCTCATGGCTATCCATATCTTCCTTCTATCTACCTTATCAAAGGCAGACTTCAGGTCAATGAAAAAGGCAAAAATCTTACCTCCTTTCCTTTTAAGCTCTTTTTCCACGACGTGCTGTAATATATAAACATTATCCATTACACTTCTATGCCGTCTGAATCCTGCTTGCGTATCATCCAGATTTTTCTCAATTCTTTCATTTAGTACTGCCGCATAGATTTTATATGCTGTATTCAACAGCGTGATTCCTCTGTAATTTTCTACTTTTTGATAGTCCCCTTTTTTATGCAGTGGTACAATTACTCCTCTTCTCCACTCCTTAGGGAAGCCCTCCCCCTTCCATACCCTTTTAATGACTTGCTTGATCCTGTCTCTTGCCTTTCCTTCACTTAGAATCCACGCCTCTGCTGGTATTCGATCACTTCCTGCTGCCTTCCGTCTTTTTAACTTTGCTATCTGCCCCTCAATCTCCTCATCTGTAATCTCTTCCTCACTTTCCACCTCTTCTACCTTTCTCCTCTCTCCATATACTCTCCCTCTTGATCCGCTTAATTGCTTCATGAAATAATCCAACCATTCTTCTTCCTTGATCTCTGCTCCTATCCTCCTCCTCTTCTTCCTTTGTTTATTAATATATTCCCAAATCTGACTATCTGTTTTAGCTTCTCTTATTTCTTCGAGTTCCTTTTCTCTTTTCTTCTCTATCTTCTTAATTTTTAATTTTCTCAGCTCCTCCTTTATCTTCATAAAATCTTCTTTTGTACTTTTACCCCTTTTCCACTTACCTAACGTCCTTCTTACTTTTCTCTTTAATCTTGTGCATTCCTTGTCCCACCATTTAGTACTCCCTATCTTATTCTTCGTCCAGCTCCTTTCCTTCCTGATCATGCTTTCTTTGATACAATTTTGTAAATCCTCCCATTCTTCGTCCACCGTTCCTTGTCTATATTCATGTTCCTCACATTTCTTCCTATATTCTTCTATGCTTTTCTCATCCCACTCAATATATTCCATTGTGCCTTCATCCTGCGCTATTTCTTCAATTTGCTCCTTTCCTATATCCACCTCTGCTGGCAAATGATCCGATTCTACCCTTTCCCCTATCTGAAACTTTCTAACTTCTAGTAATGCCTTCGTATTAGTTATTACATAATCAATTACTGAT